GAATTAAATATTTTTGGCGTTTCCATGGCAAAAAGGTCGACTTTGACTGAAATTGGTGGTAGTGCTCTTTTCCGGAGCAGAACTCTAAAACCGTTCACTATTTCATCACCAACTTGGCACATATATAGATCTGGTGGTGTAGTGGTGCCTTTTGGTTGTTTTGGAATTCTGAATAAAATATTTTTGGCAATTCCAGGCTAAGTTTCACTTAGCCTGGAATTGGTGGTACGTGCAAATTTGTCTTTTCCAGAGGAGAACTCTAAAACCGTTCACTATTTCTTCACCAAACTTGGCACATACATGGATCTGGTGGTGTACTTGTGCCTTTTGGTAGTTTTGGAATTCTGAATAAAATATTTTTGGCGTTTCCATGGCAACAATTTTCACTTAGCCTGAAATTGTGGTTGTGCTCTTTTCCGGAGCAGAACTCTAAAACTGTTCACTATTTCTTCACCAAACTTGGCACATAGATAGATCTGGTGGTGTACTTGTGCCTTTTGGTAGTTTTGGAATTCTGAATAAAATATTTTTGGCGTTTCCATGGCAACAATTTTCACTTAGCCTGAAATTGTGGTTGTGCTCTTTTCCGGAGCAGAACTCTAAAACTGTTCACTATTTCTTCACCAAACTTGGCACATAGATAGATCTGGTGGTGTACTTGTGCCTTTTGGTAGTTTTGGAATTCTGAATAAAATATTTTTGGCGTTTCCATGGCAACAAGTTTGACTTAGACTGAAATTGGTGGTTGTGCTCTTTCCGTAGCAGAACTCTAAAACCATTCACTATTTCTTCACCAAACTTGGCACATAGATAGATCTGGTGGTGTACTGGTGCCTTTTGGTAGTTTTGGACTTCTGAATAAAATATTTTTGGCATTTCCATGCCAACAAGTTTGACATAGAATGAAATTGGTGACAGTGCTCCTTTCTGGAGCAGAACTTTCAAAACCTTTCAATACTCTCCTTCCACTTTTCTATATACACACATAGATATTTGACATAATCATAACTCGTAGACATAATCATGAAGAGTATTTTGCCATTGAGGGGGATATTGATGACTTTGTCTTCTTGTTCATACTGGTAATCCCATCTGTTTAAACAAAGCAGTCTGTTACAAAGCACCACTCACCTCATAATGAAGGAATGAAGTGCTCAGGATGTTATCATGTACTACGTCGCCATTAATAACTGATATGTGACAAGAGTTTTATGGACGGAAATAACATTGTCATATAAAACAACTTTAACCCCACTGCAATTGGAATTTTATTTCTAAGTGTTTATTTCTGATATTACAATGTTCGAACAATGGAGTAAATCGGTTCTTGTTTATCTGGATTATGTCAAACCTTGATGAATCTGTCCCCACAAGAAAACAAATAAACATAAACATTTGGGTATCAAAATTAACAGCTGAATAACGAGATTATTTGGATTAATGACATAAATAATATTTGTAAACAGCTTTGGATCAGCAGAAACTGAACTTGGTCTGTGTAATGAGGTATTTAGTACGGTCTGTTCTATGAAGAGGGTATAGTTAAACAGGGTCTGCTCTGCATTCAACAGGATCTGTATGTGTTAAAAATGCCTTGTCATAATTAACATTTTTATATATAATAGCACATTAAACAAGGTCCGTATGTTAGGGTATTTAATACAGTTTCAATTTCACAGGATCTGTATTTAACATGGTTTGTATTTAACAGGTCTTATCTAACAGTCTATATATTTAGTAGGGTATTTAAAGCTAACAGGGTCTGTATTTGAAAGGGTCTGTATACAACAGGGTATATGTGTAAATGGGTTATCAGATGTAAAACATCTGAGAAAGAAATATAAGTGAAGAAATCTTGTAAATCCCCTGAGATTAATGTATGTTTCCTGTTCAGAAAGAGCTTGTGATAAAAGTTTAAGTGTACTTTCCAAACTAACAGTTCCATGAAGCAAAGTGAGGTTCAGCCATATTTCCAAAGGCAGAATTGGCATGTAAACCCCTTTATAAATACTGTATTATATACACTGTAACTAATATATCCATTACTTGATAAAACTATAAAAGGGTTGTAATTTCCACACAAAAATTGATCAAAATTTATCCTGCCGCATGCACAGGAAAATTAGATACACATTCTCTACACTGTCTGGATCGCCATGACCTATTCTGGTATAAACGGTATTTGACATTATCAAGGCCTACAGAGGTGGTAATAATTAAAACCAGAAAAATGACTGCACATGGAAATGACATGAAAACTTTTGACACAGCCCCCACGGTGGTACAACAGTAAACTTGGATGACTAATGTGTTGTGCAATAAATTATGTTGCTATGGAAAAATATCCAATGTTAGGAATATGTGGACACTGTTCAGTGCTTTTTTTTAAGGATGCATCTCATGTGACTTGAACACATTCAGCAGTGTCCATATAGGACATTAACATATGTAGGAGTCAAATGTATAATACCATTGCAAACTTATTATGCAAGAAGAATAACATGCATGGTATTCCTAAATAAATGAATGTTAAAAAACAAAAAGTATTAATAATAATAAATAGGATAGCGGCATTATCAACACAAATGAAGCCAGTCTAGAGTTTGTTTCCCACTTTTGAACTATGTGGAACAATATGCAGGGGTGAAATCATGTTTGGACCAACAGCTTTGTTTGTTTGTTGTTTACTGACACAGCAATATTCCAGCTCTATGGCGGTCTTGAAATAAGAGTAGAAAGAAACAGTTGACAAGAAGGGGTTGAACTTAGCCCAGTTTAAACTTAGCACAGATTGTTTAAAGGGTCAAGGTCATCTGTAACAAATTAAACTCAGGACAGATGGTTCAAAGGGTCAAGGTCATCTGTAACACATGACTTAAACTGAACCATATTGTTTAAAGGGTGAAGGTCATCTCTAGAACACAACATAGACATCTGGCCCCGATTTCTCGAAAAACAAACTTAAGTCTGAGTTTTGACTTAAGTTCAAATTTTTACTCAAATTTGAGAAAATGCATTTCCCAGAATGAACTGAAATCGATATTAAACTCAAACATAGTAGACAACTTGAGTTTGGTGAATAGAATACTGAAGTATTTTAGGCTTTTTTATTAAAAAATTGCAGCCGAGTTCAAAATTCAGCTGTTTCAAATTGCAAACTCAATTTGAAATTTTGAGTAAGAACTTAAGTTTGTTTCGAGAAATCGGGGCCTGGTCTATTTATTTCTTGAAAATGTCTATTATTCCGTCAAATTGAGCAATTCAGTGTATTGGTCCCATGCACCCTTCATGCACTCACTTGTAATATGTACACAAATATATCTTTACAAGAAATAAATATCTTTACATCACACATACTATTTACATATAAATACTGAAAATTGTCATGTTCATGGCATTTGCATGTCAATTATTTAGATAAATACAAATATAGACCATCATGCTAGTGAATTCTCTCAGGTGTTTTTGCACCAGTTGACTCCTCAAAATATGCCTGAAATGGCAAATATGAAGTCAATTTTCTCCAGTTGCTGCCTCAGTCTCACATGACTAAAGCGACTAAATCAATAATCAATCATTATAACAGGATATTACTATCCAGTAAGGCATCCATATTGGCCAACGAATAATGCAACTTTATGGCTTTATAGCTGTTATAAACCAAGGCATATGTTACAGTGAATTGGTACCTGTAAACTGCCAAATCACTGATCAGTCCTAGGAGTGTTATTGTGGTTTGATACCTCTGCATAACCAGTCAGATTAGCTGTTATAATTGAAGGCATGTTATAGTCAATTGATGCCTTTGAGCAGACAGAAAAATCAGCTGTTATAATTCAGTCTATGTCACAGAAAAGTAAGATCTAAGGTGACCTAACATACTTTTGTTGTATATGATTAATTACCTTGATTAGGATTCATTGATTAAATTAAAAATCATAATTCCTGTTTTGTTAAGCGAGGAATCACTGGACACATATATTTAGAGTCTTGGAACAGCATTTAGAAGTGATACACATGAAGGTGAGAGCTAATGGATGTCAACATCCGCAAATTCTCGCCTTAACGTGTGACATTTATTTAATAAAACAAAAACTGGTAGTGACAGTATAGCCACGTAAGTTATCTGAGTTTGGCGTGAAACCTATTCTTTCCTCTGCTTTCAAAGATCAGTTTGTGAAAGGCTCTTTTCCTTTGCTCTTTCATTACATGTTCCTGACAATCCAAACAATATGACACTAAATTCCCCAAATCACTTTGGTTACAAAAAAGCATTTTCATAATAGTGCAACTGAACTATGGTGGCAGTGATATGATGAACACAATTAGTTGCCCTGTAAACAGTATGTTTCACAAAGGTTGTACATGATAAATTTCTATACTTGAAGCATAATTGTTCATCCTTAGGAGTACATAACTAAGTAAAAACATGATGAAAATGTAAAACGAATTTAAACAGGATTTGACTTTGAACTCATGAAAGTTGTCATTTCAATAATACTTGACACTGAAAACATTATGGTGGATGCTATTCTTATAATGCCAACTTTGTCTTTTAACCCACTTAACAAAATAGAGTGCTTGATTATTTGGAAACAGTATCTTGCACTCTTTTAACAGTTTTATGAAATATTATTTAATGTGTAGATGGCTAGATGCTGAGTGGCTATGTTCAGATCAGTGAGTGAGCGAGCTTGGTTTGACTCCGTCTTGAACATTATTTCAGGAACACATGTAGCACTGTGTCCTACTGACAAGGATAAAAAGGCTTGGTTGAAGTCCATGAGCACAGTTATGGTCCTGGCAGACCCAGAATCATAATCAGGCTGAGCCGGGATTTGAACCCAGGGTTAGCCACAACTCATAATAAAATGCACCACTCAGACGTCAGAGTTATCCATGCTCCTGTTAATAAACAGACATCTTGTGTTGTAGTTATTGTGGGAATCATGCGCTGCTCTGTTGACTTGTGATTTCAAAATACCACCAGGTAAATCTTGCCCTTTTCTAGCAGTTTACTATACATGACTAGACAGCTTATTGGAAATTTTTCAAATATTTTTCAAAGTCTAAATTTTCGGGACAGGTTCCTGATCAATCCTCTGTCCACTCTCCATGTATTTCTAAAAATAGAATTTGGACATATCATCTGTATAAATATTTCTGTTGAGACGCAGATCAGGATTTGAAAATGATTATGGTTCAGACAAGGTGACTTGCTGAGGGCACAGTTGAAACATCACCCTGCTCTTTCTGGATCTGCCATTTCTCCTAGGCTTGTAACCATCCCAAACTAAAATGTCTAGTTATGCTTGGAACCTTCAAAGATTTAGTTTGAAGAGTGAGTGTTGTTGAAAATGGGCGCCTATCTTGTGATGAAACATGATGCTGATGATCCTGACGTTGAACTGACTCCTGCTATGAATGTCCACAGATCTGGCCGATCATTATCTCGGAGTATACAGCATTTATCTCCCCTTCCACATGATACACAGTCTGTGAGGGCTCTGTGTTGGAGGATGAAAGACTATGTTTAGATCCAATACCACTGGACGGGTTATAACTGGTTTTTGTCATGGACACCTGAAAAAATGACACACTTGATCAGTAATGCATTATCACTGAGAGAAAAAGATGAATCTTAAACTAGTAAGTGAATGAGAAATACAATTTCTCTCAAGCTTTTTAATTTTTTATCCATCCCCAAATTTGATACCTCATTTCGTCAACACAACGTGAGCTTGTTCACCAGCTAATCATTGTGGAATCAGAGAGTGAAACATTCAGCAGCATCCATACAGTTTCTCAGTGTGATACAAATATCTGATTACAGCATCTAGATAAGGACTTAAAATTGGTACCCAATCGTGGAGCAAAGTCCATTGGTAAAGTTGTTGAGCATTGGCTCATCATGCTCTAGCTCCAGGTTTGATTGTGTACATGGTATAATTTGTAAAGTCCATTTCTTGTGTCCCTTGCCATGATAAAATCTATTATTAAGTTGCATAAAATCACATCAAACTCATTCTCATGGTGGTGTGTGGTCCTGTGCATAGAGCCCAGGTCACAAATCAGTTGAAGTTAATTAATGCTGGTCACGGAGAGTCCTTGGATGGGTGACGTGTTTGGCAGCTTAACTCCAGAGAGTTTCAAGGACTTCTGGCCTGTCCCACTCAAGGCAAGCAAGTTTGGTAAAAAAGCACCGCTGTTCACTCAGCAGTGAATGGGTACCTGATGGGATAAGTCATATGTTTGTTAACCTTCTAGCACCTCACAGGCAGCTTAGGTTGCCTGATCATGCACATGTTCATGGATACAGGTGCTTTATAAATAGCTATTATTAATATCATTATCATTATCATTATCTTTTTCTCTTTTGAGGTTGGTGTTTACTTACTCTGTGGAAATGGCAAGCACATTTTCCTTGCAGGAAGTCTTTGTATCTGGCCATAGTCATGTTGAATGTGTCAACGATGCTGAAACCACTCTGCCTGGCGTACCTCAGTGTGGCCTGGTTGTGAGACAAGAGACGCAGCTGTTCTTTCTGAAAAGGAATTATTGAAACTTAAACAATGCCCCCTTTCGATTGATATATTTATTTCAAAATAATATCACATACATATAATGCATTTTAAAGGTATGAATTTGTATCAGTAAACATTAAAACATGGGCACTTAAGTCATAATCATGATAATAATGAATCCATTTATACCGCACCAGTTACCAGGCAATGGATCAGTATAATTCTCAGCTGTTTCTGTAGTATACAAGCTGCCTGCAAGGCATTGGAGGCACAGCACCTCAAGCACTCCTGGGTGAACGGAGACACAATTTGGAACCATGTAACCAGCCTAAGGAGACATTGCATGTAAAATGTGCTTCAGCACAGGGTAGGACAAAAAAACTCGAATCTCTCAGGCGTAAATTATCTATCTTCCCACTGTGGCCATTGCTTGTGGCCTGTGCACTGTACAAGCGTCACATGCCACCATATAATATATACGTCTGAAAACTATCCATTTGTGATGAAAATTTTGAAAAATGAGTTTTATAATTTTATCATGTTTGAACAGTGGAGTATACCTGTGACAGACAGTGGATACCACTGACCGGCTGGTGGAAGCCAGCTCCCAGCCCCTTGACCACAAGCTGGATCCCAGTCAGGCCCTCCCTGGAACAGGAAGTGCTGTGTTACCATATAAACTTCAGTGTTACTGTGGCAATGATGGCAAGATCATTTTTGGTGCCAATTTTCAACTCCATTATGCTTGGATGAAAGAAAGGGACAATATTAAAATCTTCTTGGTTTTTTTTAAGTTTGTCTGACGTCTGGATTTTGAAAGGGATGTCAGTGGTCAAAGCCATGAGAAGATTATATTCAACCATAATCAGCTGTAAAATTACCTTCCAAGAAACACACTAATATACCAATCTAATGTCTAACATTATTCTTCATGCTACACAGTACATAATTCATTGCTATGTAAGAAACTCTTCCTTTCGGCACAAAAACAGACTCCTGAATATATTGTAACTTTGTGCCTTGGTTTGAAATCTAGATTTTCAAAGGGAGGGAACTGAGTTACCTCTGAAGTGCCTTGATGACCACATCTATATGGTGTTTGGCTAACCAATGGACACCTCCGATTACCAGCACTGTCTTCGTGCTGTTCTCAAGGGGGACTGTTCCTGCAACAAAAGAAGGATTTAAACAAATATTATACTGAGCAACTAAAAACAGAAACTATGCCAGTGAAGGGCACAAAATACATAATGAAAGAATGAAGATTACAACTGCTAGTTATGGTTAAAGGACAACTGACACTGACTTTCATTACTAGTGAGTCTGTGAGTATTTTTAGGTAACAGCAAAACAAATGGCGCTTCACATTTGTTATTCTTGTCTTTGGTGTAACAAGCAAAAAAAAGTAACCATTAGGCTAACCCACTTTCTCTAATTATGAGAAAAAAACCCATTTTGTGGTTAAAAGCTACACCCTCATCCCACTTGTTTGAGTGAGTGAGTTTTAGTTTTATGGTGATTTTAGCAATATTCCAGCAATATCATGGTGGGGACACCACAAATGGGATTCACACATTGTATGCATGTGGGAATCGAACATGGATCTTCGATGTGATGAGCGAACGCTTTAACCACTAGGCTACCTATCCTTTGTGAAGCGAGTAAATATTGACTTATGCAGCTAGGAGGATTTAATCCAGCTAGTCATGAGCACCAGATAATCTAAACAGGAAAACTAGTGACTAACAGCATGAGCACCAATTCACACCATCAAAGAGCCAAAGCACCAACTCTATCCATCCAATCCACTTAATGAAGTAGTCGTCAATGGAGATCAGATCTATATTGTATCTTATTTTGTGATAAAATATTTTTCCAGATGACCAAGGCAGAACGAGAGAATGATCAATATTCCATGAGAGGATTTGAACCTGGACCTCATGTGTAACAAGCAAATGCTTTAACCACTGGGTGACTACATTGCAATCAGTGTACACTGAACTGCACCTACTTTTTAATAAGTCGCAAAAGAGCTTTGTCAAAAACTGGTCTGTGTTCAGTTGGCAGCCAGAACTGAGGGTAGTAGGCGAAGCTGAACGTTGTTGTGTTGTTGTTGAGGTTGTTGTAGACCTTCAAGTGATGCGTCTTGTCCCACTCCAACAACGTGTTGTTCACTCGCTCCGAGATGTAGTGCATGATGCCACGGTTGGTTGAGTCACCGATGAATAAAACCTGGATCACAACATATAGAATAAAGTTATTTGTGAATACACAATGCCTTTGAGTGAGTGATTTTAGTTTTATGCTGCTTTCAGCAATATTCCAGCAATATCACGGTGGGGGACACTAGAAATGGGCTTCATACATTGTATCCATGTGGAGAATCAAACCCGAGACTTCGGAGTGACGAGCAAACAGTTTAACCACTAGGCTACCCCACCGCTCCTCAATGCCTTTCAGAAAGTAGTCAGATGTAACATCTTATATTTGTGATTCAACTTTCTTAGTAAAGCACAGATTGTAGTACTTTTATGGGTGTAATATTAATAGTTTCGGCCATGCTGACTTGGTTGACACAGAACGCCGCCATATAGTTGGAATATTGCTGAGTGCAGAGTAAAACTCAACTCACTCACTCATGAGCAATGTCTGTTTACACTCGTCAGAGGGGAAAGAACAAGATCAAGAATGCCAGTTCTCAGAGTGGAAGCCTTGGTGGCTGAGTGGGTTAGATCGCAGACTTGCATGCTAAGGATATGGTACATGTCTCGATGTGTAGGGTCAAATTCTATATCGGACCAAACCAACAAGAGTACTTGAATTTGTACTTGAAAGTGTAACCCCAATATAACATGTAAAATCTATTTAAACACATTCATCACTACATAACTGTTTTTGAATACTGTACATTCCTTCATCACCAGTCAATACAAAATGGACAAACTGTGGTCATGGAGGAACCTTTAGTGTAAACAACAAATCTGAAGTCCAGACAAAAGTGACAGATACTGAAGATATGATTTGTTTTCACCAATACACTAAGCATCAGAATCTGTGGAAATATGGGATTTGAACCCACAAGAACTCCTGAACTAGAGACCAAGGGAAGTAACTCTGCTTTGAAAGTAACAACACCAATGACTTGACTGACTGACTGAGTTTGATTTTACACCGCTTTTAGCAATATTCCAGCAACATCACGGCGGGGGGACACCAGAAATGGGCTTCACACATTGTGCCCAAATTGAACTCGGTCATCCAGAACCATTAGGCTACCCCAATCACTTCCAATGACTTGAACTGAGGTAAATCATATACAGAGTAATCAAAACCTTCTTCATAACTTCAATATGATTTACAAATTACAGTGATGGCAAATTATATATTAATTGTAAAATGGTTTGTCCAAATTATTTAAATTATTTTATAATTTGGACAAACCCATTTATAAATGGTTTGTCCAAATTATTTTTAAATTATTATAATTTGGACAAACCATTTATACAATTATTTTGTTCATATATAATTTGCCATCACTGTAATTTGTAAATCATATTGAAGTTATGAAGAACATGTAGGTATATATTACTCTGGATATGATTTACCTCAGTTCAACTCATAGGTGTTGTGACTTGCAAAGCAGAGTTACTTCCCTTGGTCTCTAGGAGCTCAGGAGTTCTTGTGGGTTCAAATCCCATTTTTCCACAGATTCTGATGCTTAGTGTATTAGTGAAAAAAATCATATCTTCAGTTTGTGTCACTTTTGTCTAAAATATTCTAAAATAATTTTAAAAATTATAGTTTATTTTCAAAGTTATCTGTTTTTACAAAGTATACATACCTTTTTACCAGCAAAACACTGCTGCACTTTCCCTCTTGGTAACCATTTATAAGAACAAGTATCTGGTTGCCATAGCGCCTGTTTCCAATAGCAACTAGGACTATCATTGCAGTCCGTGCAGGGTACATACCACTGACCTGCAACAGAGCAACATTGGAAATCACCTGTTAGTGAAAACATATAAAAAAACATTAAAAGTCAAAGATGGGTTTTTGGTAAAATGTTGTATAAAACCCATTCAGTAAAGAACCTTGAAAATGATTCAAAACAACCTGTAAGTGGAGAGTGATAGTAATACACAAACAAGAGCCAACAACAGTAAATCTTCTGGACTCTATTCAAATGAATCTATTTATAGCTAATACCCCTGTTGAGTTTGCCTATCTGATTGATGGTTGTTTTATGCCACACTTAGCAATTTTCCAGGTAGAAGGATAGATTGCAAATACTCAAATCTGGACATAGTCACTGAGATCATAAGCATTGATCTATGTAAAATAATTTGGACATGATGACAGGCTATCAATCAAATTACAAGCCTGACTCCTCAGATGAAAAAGAAAGAAACAGAATCAGCAGCATTTACTGTTATACCAAGATCCACAGATAACAAAGAAGCACAGCAATGCCGCTATGCTACAGGTGGGTGTACCTTTCACATCCCCTTCTTGGCACTGCGGCAGCGACATCACCTTCTCCACGAACCTGGCCCAGTTCCTCTCCTGGTACATTGGCTTCAACCCACAGGATGATGTCTTGAGGAAACGCAGAGAGCAGTCCTGAAACAGATAACAATACAGTTAGTTTACGGACCCTGGAGTGAAGTAGCTCCCCATCTATTGGTGGTTTACAATTTGTTTATTTATATTTCAAAACTGATAGCTAGATCAACATTTAGAAACATCTGGTTGGATGCGCTGCAGAATTTTATCTCTGATAGATTAGGTAAGACAACAAAAGAAAACGAAATCTAATTGCTGATCTGTTTGTTATTCAATCATCTTTAATAAATGATATCTTTATTCTCTTCAAAAATGAACGGTAAATGTGGGATGATTTCAACTAAGCTGCCATCTTGTTTTATCAGATTTGATTATGATGGAACACCTGTCAATATTAGAATACACACTTGACTGTGGTTGATCCCCTACCTGTGTGAGACCACAGATTTGATTTTGTTGAGGTTGAACACCTACCTGCGTGAGGCTACAGATTTGACTTTGTGGAGGTTGAACACCTACCTGTGTGAGACCACAGATTTGATTTTGTTGAGGTTGAACACCTACCTGTGTGAGGCTACAGATTTGACTTTGTGGAGGTTGAACACCTACCTGTGTGAGGCTACACATTTGACTTTGTGGAGGTTGAACACCTACCTGTGTGAGGCTACAGATTTGACTTTGTGGAGGTTGAACACCTACCTGTGTGAGGATACACATTTGACTTTGTGGAGGTTGAACACCTACCTGTGTGAGACTACAGACTTGGTGGGGGTTGAACACCTAGAATTTTTGTGGAAGAACAACCAGAGAGTGCGATCCGTGAGATCAAAAGTGATTATGACTTGGATAGATATCGTAGATAAGTTTGTGATATTTGTTGGATTATCAAACGGATTGTTTTGGATTATCGTGCAGTGCCTAAATGAGTAAGTGATCTTGACTTCTTGACTTGACTTTAACGTAATTCTCACTATGTCAATAGTAGCTAAGATGTATCAGTATCTAGTAGACTAAGTTGTAACAACCACCAGTTTGTTTTGATGTAATAACTACAATTGTTCTGTGGAACCACGTCTCCAGCTGCATAACGATTTTGATTGAGTGATCCCACTTGCATTGTACATATTCCTGTTGCATTGTATATATATTGTACATTAACTACATTGTATCATACCTTGTCACGGTTCGCCTCCTCCTTTCGTTGCTTTCCCAGTTGTGTATATCCATCATCTATATTGTTTGCTATAAAGCGGGTTTCCATTTTTCTCATGTGATTACATATTACTATCATATTTGTCCTATATCTACCGCTTTAATAACCTATTATACCACATTTATTATTGTTATACCATTAGTATTTCGAAGATCTGCATTGCCTGAACACCCCTATCTTTCAGCTATAGCAAAGTCAGTACATAGATATCGTATACACTTTCATTAGAATGGGTAATGACATAATCCAACATAGAATTGTTATCGGACTTTTTCATGGAACCACACATCGAGCAAGCTCAAACTTTAAAACATCACGTATAAATCTACTAAATTATTTTACAAGCCTTTTCGGCTCATCATTGTGCATCTTCAGCCTAGAGTGTAAGGCGTGGATTGTATTATGTGCCCTGTGTTTTGTGACAGCATCGTTAGGTAACACCAACGAGCTGATCTTATTTCTATTGTTACTTTTGCTTTCTGGTGACATTGAGTTGAACCCTGGCCCTGTGCATGATGTAACTCAATCATTAGACAAGTCTTTACAAATATTTCACCTCAATACGAGAAGCGTGAGGCACAAGCTAGCTCACCTGAACGAATGCTTATCTGAAAACCAAATTATTTGTTTCACTGAGACGCACTTAGATAACTCTATCAGTAACACAAATATAGCATGGGATAGTTTTCACGAACCATTGCGTAAAGATAGAAATGCTTTTGGTGGAGGTGTCATGATCTCACGTTAAAAATTATTTGAGTTTTAAAAGACGCTTTGATTTGGAAAACAATAGTGATGAAACAATTTGGTTAGAAATATATTTACCTCAGAAATCGATCATGCTTTGTGCAGCTTATAGATCCCCGGGCATGGACGTGACTTTTGGGGAGAGATTAGAAAATTCAATAGAGAATTCATTTGACTTTACATCAAAATTTGTACTTGTCGGTGATCTGAATGAAGACCTTTTATCAGATAAAATTTCACGTTTAAGAGAGATCATGAACCGAAAGGCATTGTATAATGTTATTAAGGACCCTACACGCGTTAGTAGAACAAGCAGAACTTTATTAGATCCCATATTAATCAGTAACGATATTGACGTGTTTGACAGTGGCGTTATTGATTTCAGTAGTGACATAAGTGATCACAGGGGCACACTGGTTGCCATTAACACAGCTATCTCCATGTCTTTATGTTATACCAGAGATGTATGGTGTTATGATAAAGGCGGCTATGAGTTATTGAATAGACATATAAGCAATACTGATTGGAATTGTGTGATAACAAACACAACTGATATCGATGAAGCAACAGATGTATTTTATGATCATCTAGGAAGGTATATTAAGGAATGTATTCCATCTAAAAGGTAACGATTAGACCAAATGACAAACCTTGGTACAATTCGAAATAATGACGTGAATCAAGAAAAGCGTAATAGGTTGAGAAAAAGGCAAAAGAACTAATAGATGTGAGGATAACGTGGCATATCGTAAACAACGAAATAAAGTTAATAACATGAAGTGTTATGCAAAGGAACAGTATTTTTCGAACCTTGATGAATTTATATCTGAAATGAGCAGAGATAACAAAACCTCATTTTGGAAAATACTCAGAAGGCTAATCAAAGAATCAGGAACTATGAACCCTATTCCGCCATTACGATCTAATGAATCTGACGAGAGTCCAAATATATTATAGACTTTGATGAAGTGGAAGCATTAAACTCATACTTTGCGCCTATTTGTAAATTAGATGATAAAGACAAACCTCTACTCTTATTTGAAATGCGTACATCTAGTAGGCTCAATCACATTGTAGTAAATGAATGTGAAATTGCTGATATTATTAAATGCTTACATGTTAACAAAGCGAGTGGACCTGACCGTATAAGTCATAAACTATTGAAATGTATTGCAGAATCTGTCAGTAAACCATTGTGTTTTTATTCAATAAATCGTTATCTTCAGGTACCTATCCTAATAGATGGAAAGAAGCTCATGTCATGCCGCTTTATAAAAAGGAGATAAATCTAGTTGCAGTAATTACCGACCCATTTCTTTAATTAGTTGTTTAGGAAAAATCTTTGAAAGAGTTGTCATGAAGCATATGTCTAATTATTTTCTGGACAATAGATTGTTATACAAATATCAGTCATTTCAAGTAGGCCATTCTACGACTCATCAGTTAATAGAACTTCATAACAATATTTGCTCAGCTCTAGATAGGCGTGAAGACTATTGCATGGTGTTTTGTGATGTTTCAAAGGCCTTTGACAGAGTGTGGCACCGAGGATTACGGCATAAATTAATAAGCTCACGGTATAGGTGAAGAATTACTTAAATGGATAGACTGTTACATCAGTGGCAGGACTCAAAAGGTGTTTTAAATGGTTCATTATCAAATCCCAAATCTCTTGCAGCGGGGTACCCCAGGGATCAGTCCTGGGCCCCTTCTGTTTATAGTATATGTTAATGATATTGCCGATGAACTAGATTGTGCTGCACGCTTGTTCGCGGATGATACATCAATGGGATTTTCATCTATCAATCACAGGCTTATGCAAGAGACACTCAATAAGAACCTACAATATTTATCGTGCTGGGCAAAAACGTTGGCTTGTGATATACAATCCCAACAAAACAGAAGCTATACTTTTCAGTCTTTTCAATAATAATACAATTCTAAATTTAGAATTTGAAACTCAGTGTGTACGTTTGGAAAAATCTCATAAACATCTTGGAGTAACATTTTCTTCTGATTGTAAATGGAACACACATATTGATAACATTGTAAAAACAACGTCCTTGATGGTTTCATCAATGAGAAAATTAAAGTTTATGTTAAACAGAGACACTCTTAATAAGATTTATATTGTATTCATAAGACCACATCTTGAATATGCTTGTGAATTGTGGGATGGTTGTTCGGTAGATTTAACCGATAAAATTGAAAAAGTTCAGTTTGAGGCCGCCAGGATAGTTACTGGTTTACCAAAATATGCCACCAGAGATACTCTGATATATGAAACAGGTTGGCAAATGTTAAAAGAAAGAAGAAGATGTCGTAAATTGTCTTTATTCTATAATATATACAACAAAAATGCTCCATCCTACCTTTGTGATCTTATGCCGGAAACTGTTGAATCTAGGACAAATTATAATCTTAGAAACATTCGTGATCTTTCCCTGTACTATTCCCGCACAAATCTCTACAGTCAATCATATTTCCCATCATCTGCACAACTTTGGAATAATCTCCTTTATATGTTAGAGAATCAGTTTCCCTTAAAAGTTTTAAATCGCATATATAAGCTCCCGTAAGTCAAAAGCACCAAGATATTTCTCATTTGGTAATAGAAAACTCAATGTAATTCATACCCAGCTAAGATATTCAAATAGTAGATTAAATGGTGATCTATACAGGATCGGTCTCATAGAGAACCCCGAATGTAATTGTAAATTTACCTGTGAAAATTCTCAACATTATTTTATGGAATGTTCTTTTGTATTCTGTTATCAGACAGGAAATGTTTCAAAATATTAGCAGAATTTGTAACATTAAAGCACAAACAAACCTAGGCATTACTATTAAATGGCAGTGCAGATCTTCCATTATAGTGACAATATTCACATTTTTAAAGAAGTTCAAAAATATATATCAAATTCCAAAAGGTTCAGTGATCAGATATAATGTGTATGATCTAAATAATTCATGTATTCATTGTATTGTATATATCATTTTGTATATATCTTTCTATCCCTGTACATATAGTTTGTTTCACTTTTGCATGTAAGCACTGTAATTAGGAGAGGGTTTCACTAAGTTGGCATAACTTGTACCCAATCCATTCTCTTGAATAAATATGTTTAAATCAAATCAAACACCTACCTGTTTGAGACTACAGACTTGGTGGAGGTTGAACACCTACCTGTGTGAGACTACAAAGTTGGTGGAGGTTCAACACCTACCTGTGTGAGACTACAGACTTGGTGGAGGTTGAACACCTACCTGTGTGAGACTACAGACTTGGTGGAGGTTGAACACCTACCTGTGTGAGACTACAGACTTGGTGGAGGTTGAACACCTACCTGTGTGAGACTACAGACTTGGTGGAGTTTGAACACCTACCTGTGTGAGACTACAGACTTGGTGGAGGTTCAACACCTACCTGTGTGAGACTACAGACTTGACTTTGTGGAGGTTGAACACCTACCTGTGTGAGACTACAGACTTGGTGGAGGTTGAACACCAACCTGTGTGAGACTACAGACTTGGTGGAGGTTCAACACCTACCTGTGTGAGACTACAGACTTTGTGGAGGTTCAACACTTACCTGTGTGAGACTACAGACTTGACTTTGTTGAGGTTGAACACCTTCCTGTGTGAGACTACAGACTTGGTGGAGGTTGAACACCAGCCTGTGTGAGACTACAGACTTGGTGGAAGTTCAACACCTACCTGTGTGAGACTACAGACTTGACTTTGTGGAGGTTCAACACCTACCTGTGTGAGACTACAGACTTGACTTTGTGGAGGTTCAACACCTACCTGTGTGAGACTACAGACTTGGTGGAGGTTGAACACCTATCTGTTTGAGAATACAGATTTGACTTTGTGGAGGTTGAACACCTACCTGTGTGAGACTACAGACTTGGCGGAGGTTGAACACCTACCTGTGTGAGACTACAGACTTGGTGGAGTTTGAACACCTACCTGTGTGAGACTACAGATTTGACTTTGTGGAGGTTGAACACCTACCTGTGTGAGACTACAGACTTGGTGGAGTTTGAACACCTACCTGTGTGAGACTACAGACTTGGTGGAGTTTGAACACCTACCTGTGTGAGACCACAGACTTGGTGGAGTTTGAACACCTACCTGTGTTAGACTACAGATTTGACTTTGTGGAGGTTGAACACCTACCTGTGTGAGACTACAGACTTGGTGGAGTTTGAACACCTACCTGTGTGAGACCACAGACTTGGTGGAGTTTGAACACCTACCTGTGTGAGACTACAGATTTGACTTTGTGGAGGTTGAACCCCAGCCTGTGTGAGACTACAGACTTGACTTTGTGGAGGTTGAACACCAACCTGTGTGAGACTACAGACTTTGTGGAGGTTGAACACCTACCTGTGTGAGACTACAGATTTGACTTTGTGGTGGTTGAACACCAACCTGTGTGAGACTACAGACTTTGTGGAGGTTGAACACCTACCTGTGTGAGACTACAGACTTGGCGGAGGTTGAACACCAACCTGTGTGAGACTACAGACTTGGTGGAGGTTGAACACCTACCTGTGTGAGACTACAGACTTTGTTGAGTTTGAACACCTACCTGTGTGAGACTACAGACTTTGTGGAGTTTGAACACCTACCTGTGTGAGACTACAGACTTGGCGGAGGTTGAACACCTACCTGTGTGAGACTACAGACTTTGTGGAGGTTGAACACCTACCTGTGTGAGACTACAGACTTGACTTTGTGGAGGTTCAACACCTACCTGTGTGAGACTACAGACTTGGTGGGGGTTGAACCCCAACCTGTGTGAGACTACAGACTTGGTGGAGTTTGAACACCTACCTGTGTGAGACTACAGACTTGGTGGGGGTTGATCCCCTACCTGTGTGAGACTACAGACTTGGTGGAGGTTGAACACCAACCTGTGTGAGACTACAGACTTGACTTTGTGGAGGTTGAACACCTACCTGTGTGAGACTACAGACTTGGTGGAGGTTGAACACCTACCTGTGTGAGACTACAGACTTGGTGGGGTAGGCCAGGTAGGAATGAGGTCTGCTGGTAGTCTGGTCCCTGTCTCTCTATGATGAGGGTGTAGGTGTTGAGCACCCAGGTGTCAGCGTGACTCATGTCCACCACATAGATGGTGATCCGGTTCTCCCCAATACCCAGTATGACGTTCGCCTCCCTGGATGGAAGAAATCACCTGTTGATTTGCTAAATGTTCACTAATCAAAAACACATGTCTTTGTGCAAAACTTTTAGGAATAATGTAGGTAGATTGTAAAGGGTCTAAAGGGGTGTGGTTCATGATTGTGGTAAACATGAGAGATTTGCATTAGTTTAGGATTTCCTCCCAACTATTCTGACATGACATGATATAACTGCAATACTCTCCGAAGCAGCATAAAACCTAACTCATTCCCTCCCTCACTCACTCACTCACTATAAAGGCTATTGATTAAGCCCCAAAACAAAAATAATTTTTAAAAACTGGTTTATGCAGGCATAGTTATTGTCTTATGAAGACCAATGTATTCTTGATCTTAAATAGAGGTGCTCAAACTATAGTTTGCAAAACTTAATCAAAATTAAAATGTAATGTTGATTGATTCAAGATTTTATTTTCAAAAACTTCTGCTTTTTATTTCGATTTTAACTTTATTTTCATGAGCTGTTCCTTTAAAACTATAAATGAATATTCTAGACTTTTATGAAAAAGACCTAAAAAAAAGAAACATCTTGACTTTTCTCATTTCTCCATTAACTGACTCTAATTAATTCATCCAAAAGTCACTTGTTATTCTGCATCTTGGATCTTGGCTAAGTAAACCAAGTGAGATTTCCTGATATCTTCTGGAACTGAAACTGTCTTCTTTTGGGAGGAAACCTCTTCATAAGAAAACAAATGTAACAACTTTCTGACATGGAAGAAATCTGCAAGAGATCAAGCAGTTGCTACTTCACTTGCAGACACAGCCATCACACTCACTCACCTGTTGTTTCCATGTTTATCCTCCAGGCGGGCCTGAGATGAGCAGCTCTTGGCAAACGCCCACACAGTGATGAGAAGCAAGTCGTACTCTACCACTGCCCGGTACTCTGACGTCAGGGGAGAGAACTCTGGCATAAGGTCTATCGAAGGCTTTGTTATGATGTTGACTAGGTATGGCATACTGGCAGGATCTGCAAAAAGGAGCAGTGAATGAGTGGTGTCCATTCTCATGTTAAGAATAAGAATAAGAATAATAATGACAGCCTGTCCAACAGACATGATGGCTTCTACTACTGTCTTTGCCATGCCTGTGGGTTTGACTCAGAGATCCATCCATGATACGACCCTGAACATGTCCAGGACGTCATGCAAAAAGATGAATTTAAACTTCTTTGGAATAGGCCCATATACAACATGAGAAGAAGTCCAGCCAACAAACCTGATCTTGTCCTTTTTGATAAAGCCAATGAATTTATTTATATCACTGAATTTTCTGTCTCTTTCGACAGCAATGTGATTCAGAAAACCCCAATTGATGTATGCATTATGCGTTTACCACTCTTGGAACCCGTCGGCACCGGTATGGAGCTACCAAGCCTTGAAGTATAACTGGATCCAAATCCACAGGGTCCTTGATACTGGATATCCTGCATTTTGAAAAGTCTATTTAATTTTGGGTTTGATGCAAAGCAAATGTATGGTTGGTACTTACCATCATTACAAGCAGCTCTGGACTGCATCTCTGTAACATACATATGGTTATCTGTTAGGGGCTGGATACTGAATAATGGGTTAAATTATAGATGCAGGTGTCTGGGGAATTTCATGCCTTTATCAACTTTGAACTGATACCAGGAATACAAACATGATCAGTATAATTTCTGCAACACCTGATTTCATCATTACATGAGTCAGTCCATTTTATCTTGCCTCACACATAAATATCATTTCTGATTGGCTGAACGCTGTTCTATTATTTTCAATGTACCCCGCTTACAAGCGAGTAACATTTTCCTATATAGCCTGCTGGGAATGCCGAACTCATTTGGTACTTCTAAGTAGTAATTCTTTATCTTGAATAACATTGAATCACATATGATGTACGGAAATTACCGATGTTTAGCGAATGCAAATCGATGGAAGGGAGATAACTCTAAATTTGTTTTTCTTGTTGTCTGGTACTCCATTCTATGATCCGATACCCGTGCTTCAAACAGTTCAAAATTACCATTGAGGTTTTCGGTAAGATAAATATGTTGTTCACTGGTTCCTCAGGGCCCATGGGTTGATGTACCCACGCTGTTTCTTTATGTTCCCCTCACCCTTCGGGCTCAGAGAACATAAACAAACATCGAGGGTACATCAGCCCATGCCCTCCTCAAGACCAGTGAACAACCTATAATGTACCATCAGGCATACATCTGTAGAGGCAAATCTAGGATTTTGAAAATATGTGTGGTTAGGTGAAACTGGGTTGCACTTATCTTTCAAGTGTTTGCTCTTGTGTGTGTGGCTACTTCTACTTGTCATGCCTAATGCCAATTTTGTAGAGTTTGCAAATTTATTTTTGAAAAATTTAGGTCATTTGGTAAAAACAATTAATCTTCCTTTTATTTTATTTTAATTTCTTCAAATGTTAAATAAGTAGAATAAAGATAACAATGCTGGGGCACTGAGTTGAGTCTTAAATTAGATTTTCAGCAGTTTATTATGGTATTTCAAAAACATTATTCACACTCATACAGTGACAGAAAAAGAAATATATATTTTTCCATTTTACTTATTTCTGTTCAACGGAATAAACCTGCTATGGATTCTTTAGTTTTTTTAGTTTTTTTCACATTTGAATCCAAGATTTTAAAAAAGTCAGTCCTTAGTATGCACATTACATGCTAAATCTTGTTTGTGGTATGCACCACAATGGTGGGATACACCTCCCTGTTCTGCATGTAGGGGTCTAGATAGGATCTTGTGATGATGTGTAATTCTTCTTACCTGTGATATCTGGACCACTAGCAGATGATTTAGAACTGTTTATACCATCAAAGTCTCTGCAAGAAACATTGTTGACATTTGAAGCACTTATTACATACTCTGTATTCAAATAGAATAAAAATCTTAAATCGCACATAGAACTACCAGTATGAACTTAAAGAGATCATTAATTTTTCAAAACATTTTCTAAAAAAAGGGGTTCAATCACATACATTTATATAATGTAAACATAACTGCAAACAACTATCGATGATTCTTACATGGGGACGTTCATGTCATCGTAAGCTTCAACAGAATCTTCTTCCTCCATGTGAGCGAAGTAACTCTCCAGACTGAGAAGGTAGGAATGTAACTCCACGGTGGATGAATGTTGGTCAGTGGCGCCCTCTATGTCGTCCGCCTGGTCCCCATCTTGATTGACAGCTTGTAATAAATGTGTGTATTTCACAGCAGCGGTGGATGGATAAAGCTGGAATTGAAGTACAAACATTGCAGATGATGGTATGAGGGCTATACCGGATCTGGAGTCTACTTTCAACATTGCTCTGTAGTGATATGGGTTGTATCCTATTTGCATTTTCTGATGCTCATGATATTGATCACTGGATTGTCTGGTCCAGACTTGACAATTTATAGGCCACTGTCATATAGTTGGAATATTGCGTGTGGTAACATCAAACAAACAAATCATTTAAAAAAATATGAATTTTGATGAATCACGTTCAAATTTACTGATTGTAATTGTTTCTGTCTTCTTGCTTTCATTTATTTACACAAAAACTATAAAAATAATTCAGGAACATATTCCCAGCTGTTTAATTCAATTATAAAATCAATTCAAAGCGATGTAATTTAGATGTTAACAGTTCATTTCTAAAAAATAAATTTGGATAAAAAATGTAACAAACATCCAGTCTCAGTTAGTTGTAAGGGTTGTGTTCCACAAAATGATTTGAATGTTAAAATGATCAAAACTCCCATACTTTAACATAGGCTAAAAATAGTGCTTAGATCATAAGCTGCGAGGAATAGTGCCCTGGTCATAGGATATAAATGTGCATCTTGTTTGTTAGTTAGTAACTTTGCTAAGATCTTACTATTTTATGAAAATGAACAGGTTTCCCTGCAGTCTTTAAGGCTTCTATAAAGATATTATTCTATTTTACCTGAAACTGAGCTATTGTTTTCTTACATTGTAATGTGTTTTTCTCTGTCACTTAAATCATAAACATTAATCTATGAATGGATGTGAATGTTACAATAAAGATGTCAATAGTTAATGAGCACCTGCATCATAATCAGTATTGAAGTCTATTGGTGAGCCATCTTTGCATATATTGTATGCGTCTCAACGTGTTTTCTCAAACTAAAGTGTATTCTGGGATTTTTTTAATTTATCATTTTTTTGCCAGCACACTCTCTTTGAAGCTGAGAAATAACAGAAAATAAAATGGACACCTAGAAGACAGATCTATGAAGCTGAGGCAATGACCCTGACCTTGATGAAGCTGCCGTGACGAAGCTGTTCACGTCTGTTGTTGAGAGAGAAGATAAGGTCCCCTTTACTGAGGCAGAAGCTTTGGTCCGAATTGCACACTCCCTCCTGTAGAGAACGGAGAAATAGGGTGTATATTGAATAACAGGGACATCACAGAATTGGTTATTTACCAGATTATTTAGACAGATGAAGAAAAAACAATACATGCACTGGGACTTCCTTTTCAGTTTATTGTAACTCCTTGTTTCCATAAAAAGTAAGTTGTACACAAGCTACATCGAAAATGTTATTATACCATGATGTTTTGTGTGATGCTCGTCCATTTTTTGTGTCTCTTGTGCCAGAATCCAGCTGGAGATGATAGCACATTTTCATCTTGATTTCATGTAAGGCCTTCCATTTTTCATTTGTTGGTTTGCAAAATAATTGGCCTAACATTCAGAGATGGTGATATTTAAGAAACTGACAAATAGATAGTATTCACAAAACACTGAATTGATGAAAGATATTTTTAAATGTAGCAATGGTTTAACAGAACGAGATATACTATTACAAGAAGGATGAAACTTCCAATAAATTCATCACGGGGCAAAATACACGGAGCGAAGTCAGTTTAAACATGATAAAATATTTTATATTCTTCAGTGCAAAATATGAACCTATGCATGTAAGGGTTTCACCCTGATGATGTGTCGTGATTTGCTGCATAGACAAGACTGGTATCAGGTACATAAGAGTAAGTGATATATAATGAGGGGAAAAAAATACGGGATCACAAGAAAGCACAAGTGTTCCTTTATTTTTTTCCAGGCTTCTTCACAAGTTGTGTGATACAAAGCTTGTTGAGAAACCTGGAGAGAAAAAAGGAACACTTGTGCTTCCATGTGATCCCTTATTTTTTCCCCTCAGTATATGAGTAATTATTAAAGAAATATACATTTATGTACATACATTGTATAAATTTGTTAGTCCAAGTTCGCCCAGCCCCTTGGCAACATCCATGACAACAGTATCCTTAGCAACCAACATGGCTGCCAAATCTTCCAGTATCCTCTGTCTCACAAGGTATTCATTCAGAGAAGCCATTTTTCCTGTGTGAGTGTATGGCTTGATCTGAAATCAAATCAAAAGTTAAACTTCTTTATCATGTGCCGCGGGTGTCATGTGACCCAGGTTCGATTCCCCACATGGGTACAATGTGTGAAGCAAATTTCTGGTGTCACTATCTATGATATTGCTGGAATATTGCTAAAAGCAATGTAAAACCATACTTGCTTGCTCACTCCTCAATATTGCAACTGCCTTGAAGATTCATACGACACAGTGAAATACTGTTTCACTGAGTTTTACAAACTCACTCACTTCTAGAAGATAATTGTGTATATACCTGAAGTATGAATGGATGGAAGGAAGTGTTGAACACTGTGGCCATCTGAAGCAGTTGGAAACAGGAATGACATCTGTAAACAAACAACAAATAAACATTAATTATAATCGAGGGCTGAAACTCAACGCTGATTCTTACCAGTGTCTTAAAAAGTAAATTGCTGAAAAATGAATGTTTGTTAAGGGTTCATTCAGAGTGCCTGAGTTTGCTGTTTAATGCCATACTCAATAATATTCAAGCTTTATGACAGTGCAAATAATCAAGTTGGGACCAGACAATCCAGTGATTGTATATCTTAAACTTCCAAACATGGAGTTCAGAGCTCCAGATAAGATTTACCTCATGTGGGTACTGTACCCACTGTATTTTTTTGGAGTGGGTATTATTAATGTTGAGTGGGTATTTCATTTTCCGTTACCCACTGCTTTCAAATATGTGCATATTTCAGTCATTTTACTCACTTAAGTATTATGTGACTGAGTAAGTTTACTAAGCAGGTATGTCCTGCCTTATATCATACCTAATCAAAACCAACTTAAATATAATGGAAATGATTTCATAAAAAATCACTCATCCTATACTGATAGTACAACACTTGTCCTATACTAACAGTACAACTTGATAGCAATCGATGTCTTTTTCATTAAGCAAGCGATTTTTATAAATATATTCCGTACGCATTTGTTTTAAACTTTTTGTGTATCTAACATTTAAATGCGTAATTGGTACGCAACAATTATTTTTCAATGCGTAATTGGAAATTTTATATGCGTATTTTACCCGGATATGCAGCTTATCTGGGCCTCTGGAGTTGTTAAGTCTGGGAGTGGTATAAAATAGTGGAAATATTACAAAATGTGGAACAAAAATTTACTTATGTCAGTCAGATGCTGTGACAGATTATATTTCTCAACAAAGAAGCAGTATCATACTATTTATTGAACCAACCACAGTAATATCAGTAAAATATACAATCTCGTTAAAATCGACGTTACTGCTCATTACAGCTAAACAAAGAGGACATCCCATTGTGTGTCATGTCAGAATGAACTTACATCCAGCCAGCCAGAGGATCGCATACAATACTGTGAAACTGAAAGTTTGAAAGTGTTTCCTAATCATCCTGCCTTGAAAAGGATAATGAAAGGCATTGTGAATCACATTTATGTAATGACCAACTCTGCCGATTCTGTCATAGTCTATCTCAGTGGAATAAACATTTGAAATGGAAGAGACGTTCAGTTTTCAAATTTTAAATTGAGAATCTTTGTCAACAGTTTTTTACAAGGCATGTTCTGGAATGAAAGCCTCTTGTTCCAAGAATCGGATACATCTACTTCCTGATTGGCTAATATTTACTTCCTGTGAGTCACTTCATTTGGCAGGAAAAGTTCACGAACAGTCATTCTGACATGACCTCAAATGAGGAGCTCGGATATTTATGAATCTGTAGCTAGCACTAAGACCTGATTTTAATGAGATCTGTGAAATATAGAGAAACACTGGTTGACTTTCAACCATCATGAAGTCTGACCTTGCATGTGCCCCTTCTTGCAGGTGCTTGTCGGCAGACTCCAGCAGGAGCAGAGCATCTACTACAGCTTCCTCCAGCTGGTCCAGAGACACCTGGTGTCCCCGGGTGTCCCTCAACAGCTGCTGTAGTTCCACCAGTGTCAGGCTACGATGGGGCTGGAATGTGTGTTGTGAGGTTGACTATTTGGGGGTCAGTGAACCATTGCAAGTATTATGATAAGTAAAAACACTATTACAATACTAATCTAATAGTTGTACCACTATTTATGGATACAAATTAATGTATTAGAACTACTTGTAACAATTTTGAGGGGAAAAATACACATTATACTCAGTGTATGAAATAAGCCAGAAACCCAGCCAGACATCAGGGCTGGTAACTTCAAATTGTTACCAGTCCAAAATGGATTTAACCAGACCAAACACCAAAATATGGTGAATTTACTCAAATATACGACTTTTTTAACCAGACCATCGGGTTGGCTAGCTGTAAATTTAGACTGTCCGTCAGAAATCTAGCCGGTCTCGGGCGGTCGGACGGGCCTTATTTCATACACTGTTATAATAGTTGTAGCACTTTTCATGAACCAAAACAGTTTTGCAATTGTTGAAAAACACTTATTGGTTTTTAGATCTAAGAAGCATTAAAGATTTTTTTCTTAAAGTATTCCTTTTTATATGTTTGCAATAAGCAAACTAGGTATTTGTTTATAAAAAAGAACAAAATCGAAAATGCCTTTTTTCGCACCTATTAACCAGGATTTTTCTTTAAAAAACCCATAAAACAAACACAACATGAAACATGAGCCCGAGCTATGTGCCACATAAAAGCTAAGAGGCACTTTTTTCAGTTAGTAGCAGGAACATGTATATAATTCTGTCACACAGAGAGTTCATCTCCAGTCAAGGAACAAGCACATCTCCCAGTGTTACCTTCTTGTTGAGGTAGGAACTGATGCCCATCCAGGTGAGGGCTTCGGAGTGTAGATAGAGTCGGAGAGGGGAAAAGGACATCACCAGCACATGGAACTGGACAACCAGTGGCTGCGCCCCCACGTGGAACAAGTAGGGAGGGAGCTTCACCGCCACGCCAGCTCTCCAGTCAGGGCTGTTCACAGGAATTATACATAAGGTCAGTCATATATACACAAGGCTATTCATGTGCATTAGATATAAATCTGAAGGGTGCTTCTCACTATATATTAAGCATCTCTTCTTTTGAAGGTTTTGCATTTGAGATTTTTGTTTGCTCTCAGGTTTTACTTTTTGTAAGTAAGACCTCTTCCCAGGTTTTATTTTTTCCTAACTCTATATGAACATCAACACTCAAATGATATATGAGTGTTTGAAATCAATTGAAAAATATCATCCAAGATCAATTTTAAAGTGCAAATGTTTTCCCAATCAGGATTAGATCCACATCTATCAGGTTAATGAGCAGACACTCTACCTCACAGCCACCGAGCCAACATAGATGTTGTGGGTTGAATTATCTATTTATAGTTACTGTCATTAAATTGATTTTACTTGCGCTTCAGTTATTGTTATGTAGCTTCACTAAATGATCATCTACATTATAATTATCCATCATTGATGGTTTATATGTTAGGAAAACACTTCCCTCGGTTTTGGTAGAGAATGTAAAACCTTGGGGGGGGAGACTCGGTTTTACGTAACATTCTCAGCCTATCGGGATTTCCCTCCTCCTTCGGTTTTACATTCTCTACCAAAACCTCAGGGGCGTGTTTTCTCCAATACGTCAAGACCAGTGAAGATCTGGGTTAAAATTGGTCTTCAGTAACCCATGCTTGTCATAAGGGGTCACTAAAGGGACCGGGTGGTCAGGCTCACTGACTTATGGATATACAACTTCTTTATTCCGTTATAGGATGTTCTGACATAGATTCTAATGTCTAAAAGTCACCTAGACAGAATAAAGAAGTTCTATATCCATAAAATTGTCCTAAATCTTCATGTCCTTAACTTTTTGAATGACATGGCAATCAAAGAAGTCGATTATTTACAGACTGCTACCATGCCGCTGAGTGTGACGTTATACAACATCCAAACAAACAAACAAACAAACAAACATTAGGCCAATCATATTACATCAATCTGTTCCTTGTTGGCACAATGCCATAAGCAGAAAACATCAACTTATATCAGTACCTCTTCATTAGTTGTTTCAGCTCCTCACACTCCTGAATGGACGGTTGTCCCCCATGTTTCCCAGTGTGTAGGACCCACATTGTGTGCTGACCACATCCACCACGAGTGTTGTCACCTGACTGGCTGGAGGGCAAGGCACGGACATCTTCAAGAAGCTTGTAACATGGGAGTGGTCCCCCTTGCCAATGACCTGTCAGGGGACATAACTCTAAATTAAACATAGCTGAGACTGCAGGACCTAGCCTAGACTAACAACTAGTCTCTGAAATGAACATATTTTACTGAAAAAAGTTCATAGTAAAAAAAAATATAATATAATGAAAAGGAGCCCTGAGACTTTCTTCATTTTCAGATGAAGCTGAGGAAATCTAGACTTGCCACATTTTCTAGACTTGCGTGGGCTTTCTTGGATATATTTGCTTCAGGGTCTGTACGACAGACTAGACCTAGCCTCGAAAGGTACTTGATGGTCATAATGCATAATGTGATTTGTCCATAACAATAGTTTGGTGCATTTTGAGAACAGCCAAGGTCCAATTTTACTAAAATGTATTACTTGAAGACATGTTTATTATTTTCAGTTCTTAAACAATATGAGCTCCTGAACAGTAAAATAAAAAATGCTCATCCCAAACCAAAACAGTCCCCATTACATGCACACATATCTAGAAATCATAAAGTTGCTCCCTCAGATAGTATTCTTCTCTTGTTCCTAGGATTAAGAAATGGTTTCCTTTGATCATGTGGCCTTTGACCAGATGAAATATAACAAAAGTCGTGCCATTGCTATGAATAATGTTCTCACTTATGTTCACAGATACTTCCTTCGTATGTTATTATGTTGCTAGGCAACATATTGTTAATATCTAGTATACAACAGATATTTATTTATATATAAATACCACCAGACAATCATAATATAAACTTAATTTGTGGCAACATATCATTAAGGAATTAGGTTGGAAGGATTTTCTCTTTTATATTTTTAATACAGAAATTTGAAATGATTTAAGAAATTTGACAAAAATTGTCATATGGGGGACATGCTGATATTTGATTATAGCTACATTGACAGACATCTCTTTTCGTATATATATATATATATAATAGGGGCGGTGGGGTAGACTAGTGGTTAAGGTGTTTGCTCATCATGCCAAAGACCCGGGTTCGATTCCCCACATGGGTACAATGTGTGAAGCCCATTTCTGCTGTCCCCTACCATGATATTGCTGGAATATTGCTAAAAGTGGCGTAAAACCATACTCACTCACTCACTCACACCTATATATATATATAATACTGATATGTGATTTACACAACTTGGGTCTAAATGCAGCTTCTTCTTACCTGTATTGCCAACGCCCTGACACATGACCTGAGGGTCAAACAGCAGGGCATGGAGGGCTGGGATGACGTTGACCTGGAAACAAGTGACATGTAGATATACTCTGTGTTGTACAACTAGTGTCATTCATTGGCACATGTTGATTACATGCAGACCTTTAAACCTGTTATGATGATGGTGTGAGAAATTCTTGTGGTTAACCTAAGCGAAACATGCATAACAACATGAGCAAGACTGATGTGTGGATGACAAAAAGAGCGATGTTGATGGCGCTGACAGGACAGGAGAGAGATGTTCAGTATTATTACTGCTTGACTTGGAAGACGTGTTACAGATTTTACACATATTTTGTATCAAACTCCTTTCAGTAAAATATTTGTGCTTGTGAGTTTTACCAATTTGTTACAACCAAAATCATGATGGAATTTAGTCACAAATGGGTTGAGATGACATGATATAACTGAAATACTGTCAAACATTAAACTCATGCACACAATCAGTCAGTCACCCATTGATCCATTCACACAGCACACGCCTCACCCCTGCTACCCACTTCTAACCCAATCACTCACTCACCAACCTTCTCTTGAACTCACCCACCACCCATCTTACTCATTCACTCATCCACTCACTCAAAACACTTACTCACTCACTCACTCACACCTATATATATATAATATTGATATGTGATTTACACAACTTGGGTCTAAATGCAGCTTCTTCTTACCTGTATTGCCAACGCCCTGACACATGACCTGAGGGTCAAACAGCAGGGCATGGAGGGCTGGGATGACGTTGACCTGGAAACAAGTGACATGTGGATATACTCTGTGTTGTACAACTAGTGTCATTCATTGGCACATGTTGATTACATGCAGACCTTTAAACCTGTTATGATGATGGTGTGAGAAATTCTTGTGGTTAACCTAAGCGAAACATGCATAACAACATGAGCAAGACTGATGTGTGGATGACAAAAAGAGCGATGTTGATGGCACTGACAGGACAGGAGAGAGATGTTCAGTATTATTACTGCTTGACTTGGAAGACGTGTTACAGATTTTACACATATTTTGTATCAAACTCCTTTCAGTAAAATATTTGTGCTTGTGAGTTTTACCAATTTGTTACAACCAAAATCATGATGGAATTTAGTCACAAATGGGTTGAGATGACATGATATAACTGAAATACTGTCAAACATTAAACTCATGCACACAATCAGTCAGTCACCCATTGATCCATTCACACAGCACACGCTCTCACTCCCCTGCTACCCACTTCTAACCCAATCACTCACTCACCAACCTTCTCTTGAACTCACCCACCCGCCATCTTACTCATTCACTCATCCACTCACTAAAACACTTACTCACTCACTCACTCACTCACTCACTGACTCGAACACTCAGTAACTCACTCAAGCACTCACTCACCTGCACTTGAACTCACTCACCCACCTACTTACTCACTTACTCACTCACTCATCCACCCACTCACTCACAAAGCCACTGGCCCATTCACCAACCACCAGATCTTGCATTCACCCACCCTACATCTTACTTACTCACTCACTCAAACACCCACTCACTCACTCACTCACCTGCTCTTGAAACTCATGCACCCACCAACTTACTCACTCACACAAACACCCACTCACTCACTCACTCACCTGCTCTTGAGACTCATGCACCCACCAACTTACTCACTCACACAAACACTAACTGACTTACTCACCCATCCACCCACCCACCCACTCACTCACTCACTCACCCTCTGGAAGTCTCTCTGTTCCAGGTGTTCCCCTGTGTCCCGACATGTGTTGGGTCTGGATGTGTTCAGACACATCAGCACACGCCACGTTGGCTTGTTGGTGGCATATGTGTCTTCATCAGTATGGTCTTCTTGGCTATCAGAATCTGAAATCACATTTACATAAGTCTGTTAAGTACCAGTACCTTAATATTTCCTCTACACCAAATGCCTAGCAACAACAAGAGAAGATCAGTAACTGTTTTGGAAAGTAAAAGTTGATGACACTGAAAAAAATGGAGATTGTATAAATAAGTGGTGCAAATTCTGCCCACACCCTTTGGCTTTTTGGACAATAAATTACACTAAACACGAGAAGTAAACAGCACTATGAGGAGGATTTCATAACTCTGCTGCATGTATATTTGGTCTCCCAGACACAAGTGAATCAGTAAATAATCCTAATTGGGTCTGCCATGATTTGACACATCCAGACTGATATTAGGCAGTGTTGGCACCTTTGGAATTATATTGAACTTGGTGGATATATTTTCAATTATTATATCATTATTCCCTTACATGCTTGTTTCTTTGTTGTTAAACTCTACACTGAACAATATTTCAGTTATATGGTGGCAGTGTGTAAATAATCGAGTCTGGACCAGACAATCCAGTGATCCATTACATGTTGGTTTGGTTTGTTGTTTAACGCTGCAATATTCCAGCTATATGACGGCACCATCACATGCAATGATGGTAATGATTGTACAGTAAACAAATATGAATTATATAAAGACAAATTAAGACAAAAAAACTAGAAATCTTTATAAACAAGAAGAAAAATATATTGTTTTCAGAAAATTCAAACAATAAATGATGAATACCGTCAACAACTTTGAACTTGACTTTGGCTCCAAGTTGAGAGAAAGCGGACTCCAACAGCGGAACCTCATGTTTGACAGCTGATAGGGAACCCTCGGCTAGGATTACAATAGGGGACTTCTTCTGGGGCAGCGACTGCTCTTCCAGCTGTGAAAGAAAAGCATGAAAGATGATTTATCTATATTCCACACCACCAAAATGGTATTTCCATCAGATCAGTTTGTTTTCTTGTTTAGAATGAGCCAGCTCATGAATTTGCATCTGGGAACCAAAAAAACTCCAAACAAATATTGTTTGATATTCTTAATATTTGGAATATGCAACGTTTTTCAAGAAGTCAGTGAGGAAACAAACCTTATGAAAAAAACATTATATTTTTTGTTCCTTTTGATTTATGTATCCTAAAAAATTGATACCACAAGCCCTAAAAGTACTGGTCCGGATTTAGAAGTGTTGATAACCATATGTGCTATAAAAAAGCATGAGTGTTTGTGTTCTATTCACCATCATTTACAAGTAACCTTGCTTCAGATGTTTGCTTCTGTTTGACATTCTGATGTAGTTTGAAAAAAAAATTAAAATGCTTATTTTGAACATGTTTTAATGTCTCAATTTGAGCATACTTCAAAGGCTTTGGTGCCTATAAATATGCATTTTCTTATCATTAATATTATTATTATTATGGATTTTTTAACTTTTGTTGTTGTTGCTGTTACATATTTTAATAGCACTTCTACATTCATGTTTTTCTTAATTAAGGCAAACATATTGGTCTGTTATATACAGGAATGTTAATGCATCATGACTTTACTAGACTGAATCACAAAATGTTATGAATGTACCAGAATTTATTCAACTCACCTGAAGAAGCAAATCCATATGTGAGATCATAATACATATTGTTTCCATGGAAACAAACAAAGGACCCCAATCAACAATTTCAGTCCTTAGTAAACATTCAGCCTTATAAAAGTATACACCAATATTTGATTGTGGCAAATATTGAGACAAACAAAAAATGGTCATATATGTATCACAGGTGTGTTTTGGATCAGAAGTTTGCAGTAACGTAGTTGTATTTTAGTCAAATTATATTCTCCAAACTATTATATTTTCTGTCCTCAGGTAATTTGGATGAATAATGTCAGCATACAACTTGTTTTGGTTCCAGAGAAAAAGTTAAGTTTATAGTAAGAATATCTGATCCTGCCTCCAAGGAAACAAATCAATTAACAAATTTGCAAAACATTGTAAATTATTCAGATATAATGTTTGCACTGGCTTCATAAAGCAATATCAGATCATTTTATGTTTATTTTATAATGATAATATAAAAGATTGTTGTTCAAAATGTCTTACAGATCAACGATAGCGGAAAATATAATTATTATTTTATAGTAGCAATATCCATGCAAAGAATCAGCAAAAATCATGAATAATAAAGTTAATAGTTTAACTGAACAATGCCGTTGCAAGGACTTGAGGTTGAAGGTTATATTCACAAGCAATTTAACCTTGATTACTTAAACGCATGATTTTAGAATGAAGAGAATGAAGAGACATTTGGTATTGACTACATGAACTTTAGGAGGGACAGGGGGTAGGGCAGAGGAGGGAGAGGGGTTTTTTTTAGAGATAAATACATTTTTCAGAACCTGTTTCAAGACATACAATTTTTTTCTTTAAAACCAAGCTCTAAACCATTCTACTTTCACAAACACATGATGCAGAACTGTACAACAGATTGAAAGGGTCTGTGATAATTTGTATAGTAATGTATATAGAAATATAATTTACATCCGTCGTTTCTGTAGCTTGTTATGGAATACACCAACATGAGCTGAAACTTTAAAACTTTCAGTGTTGACATATCTGATTCCAAAAACACAGGGGTATGCTTCTACTTATTGTCTAAGTCTTCAAATTTTTGGGGGGCTGTGGGGTAGCCCAGTGGTTAAAACGCTGGCTTGTTATGCTGAAGACCCGGTTTGATTCCCCTAATGTACCCAGCCGTGATATTACTGGAATATTGGTAAAAGTGGCATAAAACGTCACTCACTCACTCACTTAACTCACTCACTCACTCACTATTAAGTTCAAACAGCAATGAGCAGTGACTCCTGAATCTCAAAAAGTGTACAACCACATAAATTAGAGATGTCATTTGTTTGTACAGATGATGTCCAACTGGTCAATGAAGCAGTATACTGCAATATCCCCTGCCAGATATGTCTTGATGTCAAAATTGACAGTTATAGAAAGATAGAAACCTGACAGACCCACTCACAGATACTAACCCATTAAGACTGACTGTTTTGTTCTGACTTTACACTATAGGTATGTATTAAGTGTTATCCATGTATTCTGGGAACACTGATGTAAATCAGAATAACATGAGACCTGGCTCACTTGACTCAATTACAGGCCAGCTCTGCACTGTCAGCTATCTGGGTTCTATTTACACATACTGATTTATCACTATAAATCTATGCTGCTTTCTTTATTCTTGATGGATCTGTTTTTAAACCTTCTGGGCAATATCACCAACACACATATTTGTATATGATGAGCCTTTACACAAAATTCTGGAGATTAAAAGTCATCAAAAAGTTAATAATAGTAAGCTCCTCAAGATGAAGCAGCATGTTTTGAGAGAGTGAGTGAGGTTAAATGCCACCTTCAACAGTTTTTCTACATCATGATTGGTTAGATCAACGCTGGAAGGATGCAGGTCTTAGAGTCGTTTTGCACTTCAGGTGAAACCAACGTGTATGGCAATGCCTGGCAAGCACCTTTTCATTGTTAAACAAGATCATGCATGTTGCAATACAAATACAACAAATGATAAGAGTTGCTATGTTAAACCCCTTTCCAAGTGAACTCACCTCAGACTGAATGCCTGAAGAAGAGTGAGTGATATACAAATATCAGCTGGGCTTGAAAGGGACAAACATTTGATAAGTCTTGACCATCAAGTGACCATATAGAGTTACCATATGATCTACCAAGATTCTGGTTACAATTAAACATTTTTATCTTTATTCCCATGTCTAGGTGCAGAAATAAAATTTGAAATTAACAGTTTATATGGGGAAAATTTTGTTTAAAATCACCTTGGAAGCTTCCCAACTAACAGACACTAGACCAAGAGACTTGTCCCAGTAATTTAAGGCACTGTAAGTAGTTCTTTAGAGTTACATCCCTTTGATCTGCCAGAATCCTATAATCAAATGTTCTAATCTCACTTTACTCTAATCATGTTCAAAGTTTGTCACCACCATGTCTACTCAAGGGTTTCACAAAAATGAAAACCGACCTGTGTTGCTTTACCATGAAGCCGAGATGCTGTTACATAATGGTAACACTGTTTGATGCAGTGTTAAACTCAGTTCACTAACTCACCCATCAAAAAATGGTAAAATCTGTAGCATCACAATCCTCTCTGGAAAGCCTTCCCTAAAAGGCTGGTTGTTTGATAATCAAAACTTTTGAACTTCTTCATGACTACCATTAACATTCATCAAGTTTGAAATTTTTATGGAATTAGAAGCCAACACTGCTACATTCAGTCCCCAAGCTTATCACAACAGATTAACTAATACAAAAATGAAATTTTACAAAATTGTTTTGAAATAACCCTGATTTTTATCTGTGTCCAACACAATGACTACACCAAATGCTCCACACGAAAAACATGTACTGGGACTTAGGAGCAGTTCCTTGTGCCATCCTGATGAGAAATTTAATTAAATCTAATCCCTGAAGAAATCATTAGCTTTTCAATCCATTCCATTATCAAAATGCCATGTTGGAACACGTGCCTGAGAGTAATTCAAACTTGAACTTTAATCCCTGGATTATACACTGGTGAGATTGAGTGCCAGCCAGACAAGCTGGGATAATGGACAACGGAATGGACAGCTGGTCAGGCTAATCCTTTTGGTGGACCAACCTGTCTGGCACAGCCTGTCTGCTTATAGATAAGATGATTAAATCAAAACTACGAGTAAGTGAGTGAATATAGTGCCACTTTGAATAGTATTTTGGTCATTTAACGGTGATCATTTCAATTTAAAAAGAAAATTAAACACAGGTTTGTCGACATTTAATTTGCAGTTGAGGATAGTGAAAATGTTAATGCTATTAACAAACATTTCTTTACTCCACTATCCGTCTTCTAAACATTTCTTTACTCCACTATCCATCTTCTAAACATTTCTTTACTCCACTATCCATCTTCTAAACATTTCTTTACTCCACTATCCGTCTTCTAAACATTTCTTTACTCCACTATCAGTCTTACTCCACTATCCGTCTTCTAAATATTGATTCAAGTGCATGAGTTTCAGCTAAATTCTGCCAGATTCATCAGCTCTGAAACATGACAATGAAACCATAAATTTTGCTGAATAGTCTTCTGATTCAACCCCAAAGGTTGTTTAGCCCCTCTTTGAACAATATTTCAGTGTATGTATACACTTATAATATTATAGATTGGAAGAAACATCAGACAGGAATTCTGACAGAAGAAGGAAATAAAAAGAAAAAAAACCGAGCTGATGAAGCAAACCCATCTAATGAGTGAGTGAGTTTAATTTTACACCGCTTTTAGCAATATTCCAGCAATATCACGGTGGGCGGACACCAGAAATGGGCTTCACACATTGTAACCATGTGGGGAATCTAACCTGGGTCTTAGGTGTGACAAACGAACGCTTTAACCACTAGGCTACCCCATCGCACCTAAACCCATCAAAGCATAACAATACTTTCTGACATTACACTGAAACAAGGAAGCTTTTACTGACAGTATCACCGAGTATTACCGACAGTATCACCGAGTATTACCGACAGTATCACCAATTATTACCGACAGTATCACCAATTATTACCGACAGTATCACCAATTATTCCTGACAGTATCACCAATTATTACCGACAGTATCACCGAGTATTACTGACAGTATCACCGAGTATTACCGACAGTATCACCGAGTATTACTGACAGTATCACCGAGTATTACCGACAGTATCACCGAGTATTACCGACAGTATCACCGAGTATTACCGACAGTATCACCGAGTATTACCGACAGTATCACCGTATTAGTATTACCGACAGTATCACCAATTATTACCGACAGTAT